CTATAGTGTCTTTATGCCATTCCCAAAGGGGGGATAACAACATGTTTTGTCTTATACACAGTAGAATTGTAAATGGGCTGATTTATCAATGTCATGCTCATAATCATACTGTGCCGGAAGTGCCGGAACAACATAGGGGGAACTGCTGCTTTTTCTTTCCTCATCCTTACTATCTTCATTTTTCCAGTATTTCTTTTGTCGCTCTCTTGTGAACTGCTATTTCCGGGTAGTCTTTATAGTCGAAGCAGACTGCTGTTGAGGCAAGAGAGGTGAGCAGAGTAAGCCTGATTCCCCGTTTGGACTTCTCGGTTGTTGTTATTTTGCTTCTTTTTTCTTCTTCTTTTTTTTTGAGGGGGGGGGGGGGGGGGTAATATCTAGGATAGATGTTTCTTCCAGTGAAGACAATGAGCTCGAAAACCCATAAATATGACGCATTGAATCTCAGAGTCTAATTTCCAGTAAGTTTTCAAAATTAAGTTTTCTTTTCTTTTCTGTAATCTGTATAGTCCAGAGAATAAATTTAAATGCAAATCGAAGGCTGATTTGTTCGTTTCTTTCTTTTTTTTAAACGGAAAAAACGTAAGGTTTGATAATATGTAAATTTTAAAGGGCCTACTCTGTTGTTGCTTTTTTTACAACATAGACGAATAATTTTGGACGATGTTTCTCAAGTATAGGCATACTTTTCTTTTTTTTTAAATACGCATCAAGAGTCAAGAGCATAAAAAACCAAAATTATCGAATTTGGGTCTAAATTTAATCTAACTTGAAGGAAAACATCAAAGAAAGCGTGTTTTGAGTCAAACTGGTTCAAGCACAAGGTTCAATCTAGTCAGTTATTCATTCTTAAGACATACATGTTTATATATATAGATCACAAAATGAAGTAGGCATACACAAGTCCTAAACCATTATAAAACTTACGTAACACCGTACTTAACAGTCCTCGTGCTGTGAAAGTTTGCCAAACTGTGCAAGTTTCCCGTTCACTTGAGCTTTTAACTCAAATAACAACAGGTTTTTATTCCGGATATTTATGACGAAATAGACTAATTAGGAATTACCCCC